CACCATGTTTGCTCAAGCGTGGGCCGAAGATAATAGCTGAAAAGCAGGCTGAGGATTTCAATTTTTACGGCGGCTCTTACCATCATCCGTCGCAAAAGGGTTAAACTTTCCTTCAGTCAAATGGTGTGAAGGTAAGACTCTATAAAAAGGCCTCACTTAGAAAACCTGTGTCTATTTACCTTTCCCTTTCATAAGGTGGACCATAAGGGAACTGCCCAGTGTTTCCCTGACTCATTGGCATTCCAGCTGCACGATTATTGACAGGAAAAGGCTCAGCACCAGGCATATTAGTAGTCCTTCTATTGAAGCCATCAGGCACAGGCACGGAGTCTCTTCTACCTGATGTATACGGATCATTGCCAGGCATGGTATTGTTCCGCATTCCACTAGGAAAAGGTTCCCCAGTGGGATGTCCACTGGTAGGTGGGTGGGTAGCCATGTTATTAAATGCATCTCCTCCAGCTCCCATTGTGTTGTTACGATACTGACTCATGCCAGCGACGTACGTCCCATCAACTGAATTTTGAGCCATTCCTTGTGGGAAAGACCCTTGGCCTGGTCGAACACCTTGAAAAGTACCTGATGATTGCAAATCAGCATCTGAAAAAGGGTCTCGCACCGTCACACTATTGCTGGTGGTATCATTAGACATCGGCATCATGTTATTAGGCATAGGTGACATACCACGACCTATATTGTTATGCATGGGCTGAGGGAACGGGTGCATCTGGTTCATGGGTTTACCTCCTGGATGAGGGCGTTGTTGATACATGTCACGTGGGCCACCATGGAAGTCCTGTGGTCCTGGACCTGTTAAAAAGAAGATAATCAATGTCCCTTTAATCACAATTCAGGAACAACATTCAAATTATTTTTCAAACGGTGTGCCCCAGTCCGTGCTGCACATGGATACATTGCAGCCTCCTGCGGCCAACCGATGTGTGGCGCTGTATGTCACTGGTGGAAAACATGACTGAATTCATTTTGTGACTCACAGCCTAAAGATTCTGCACAGAATGAGGGTAGAAGAGTATATAGCATCTGTCAGTTTGGAAAGTGGTCATCAGTTAAAAACGAATAAAATCCATGTATATATTCTAAATATTAATTTCAACATCATGCTTAGGCGCCATCCAAAGTTTTCAAATTTTCAGCATACAGGGGTGGGGGGTCGTACCACTTTTTGGGTCCCAAAAATGTTGATTTGTTTAGTATTCTCATTTACAATGTATATGCAATACGTGAAAATTAAGAAAAAGCAAGTATTACACGTAAGCACCAGTCACACGCTGAAAGCTGTTTCTGATGGAGGGTAAATCCGCAAAGGTTTGCAAGCATTGTGGGTGTACATGTAGTTTCCATGTACTGTAGGTCTACCCGCCGTGGCACGGCCCAATACACACTGCACTAATATGCTGCTTTGTACACAAACACTGTATGTGAAGCCCAGCCTATGAGCGCGAGCCGATAGCACGATACACCAGCAGTACATGTATGTGTACTAAATAACCTTTTGACATCATGGTGCATTGTTTCCAACACGATATTTATTTTTACCAAAATAATGTTATCGTGGTACTGGGGACATGCACGAGATCATCATTATACAGTCATGGTGTCTCAAGCCATGGCCATGCCCTCAAGCCTATCTTCCAGTTCCATCCAGCAAGAATTTCACTCAAAACTTTTTACTGTCAATTGCTTAAACCTTGATGAAAAAAACATTTCTTTATCAATAATGTGTCTAAACAATGTTTTTTCATATTGAAACTTTTTATTTTTAGAACATGAAGGTTTTTAAAAATGCATGTCTGTATGCTTAATAATAGGCACTTTCCAACAATGTAGTGCTTATGGGAGTTTTTCAGGATACCAACAGAAAAATAAAGATATGTGTTAATTCAGGGGGGGTGAAAAATAGTACGCTGTGTACTACTGTGAAAAGTTGAAAACTCTGGACGACCCCTTAATAACCTCAATACAAGATTAACAATGAGAAAATTCATAACGAGGGTCTACATTAACATCAATGAATGTTACCGTAGTTAAGTTTACATGACATGTGAAGGTAATTAAGCAATGATAGGTGCTGAGTGAAGCAGAATAGCTTTTGTTCCCAAAACCTTTAGACAGACTAATGACAATAGAACGTTCTTTGGGCACAATTAAATGGGTTCCTGGGGCACATCTGGACTGAACCTGCCAATCCTACCATGTCTACACTACTACAGCATATATCTTTGATGAGTGAAAAGAATCTGTGTAATAATGTTGGCTCAGCCAGTTAAAATGTTTATGGAAGTTCTCCTGCTTTAGCCTACAATGGACCTGTTTGTTTCATGCAGATCTGGATTGCGATCCACTGATCTGACGTTGGTTCACTGACACAAGAGCCCACTTCATGGATAGCGCAAACCAGCTTTGCAATCACTAATCGCCATCCAGATCTGTGTGAAACAAACAGGCAATATGTAGTCTGGCTGTGAAACATTTATTTGGGACACATGAAACATTTTCATGTGCTACAGTACCTATATTTTGTGATGTCACTTCATGATACAAAATATTTCATGAAATAACACAAACTTGATACATGCCGTATCGCATGCAATGCACCATCTTAATAGACGGCTCACAACCGACCGATGTACTTGGCTATTACCAATTCACTCAGGGGACATAACAAAACCACGCAACTACATATAGCGTTACACTGGCGCACAATCTGATCATTTCTATGGGCTATGACACATCATTTTCAGCAGGAATGATAAGAAATGGGGAAATTGCAAACTTTCTAGGGAGGGCTTTCGCATCGTGGATTAAATGGATCTTGATAAGGTTATTTAATTCACCTCATGTAGCTCTGCAAATAATTCTCACAGTGTCTTTGGTTTGTTTTCAGCACTCTGTGAAGTAGACAGTTTAACAACAGCCAAAGTGCATATGAATATGAACAGTGAGTATTGGCGTCATAACCATACCCAGAATCATCTTGTTTGCTTGACTTTTAACGACATTTTAGCTGCCTTGTAATTCCACATGAATATTACATGTAATTGTTTTTCACAATCAAAAGGAGATCCACGGTGAGAAGTAGAAGTTATGCTTTGAGTGAGAAAAATGTGTCAAAAATCCAAAGGTTACAGAGATTGAATTAAAATCATGTTTGCATTGAGATCATTAGAATGATGCAGTTAGTCTTGCTTTTGGTTACACTTAATTTTTTTATGTAGGAATTTAAGATTGAAACAGTGTCTGTTTTGAGAACAGCAGCTGATCAATACCGTACGACAGTCTTCAGAAAAAACATGCAATGAGCCAAATTCACTTTTAACCTCAGTGGAAAATATCTATTGAAGCCATTTCATACTCGATGCTGGATATTAAAAGGGATGCCACAGGGTCTGCTTAAAAACATGAAACTTTTTTAATCATGGCAAACAGCATTGAGGTGAACGACCGAGTGTAGTGAGTGGAGTGTATATTGACTGGGGTTCTCTTCTCTTGCAGCCATGTCCAGTTCCACTTCTTTTTTATTGTTTATAACTTTTAAGTTGTCTGCTCTTTATGAAATTTGAATTTTCCATATTTTGAAGAAATTTGTTGAATGACATGAGATTTTTTACTCCAAACAACACGATTACATTGTAGACTGATCGACAGCTCGTCCTGCGAAAACACACGTGCACGACCATGGTGTAGTAGGTTCCTGGCTTGCTGTGTACAATATTCCTATTCATACAATCACTGTGATTGGGAACCACTGACTGACATGAGTCTTGAATTCAAGGATGTGTGATAAATGTGCTCAGCACGCTAACCATCAGCATGTGGTGTGTGGTTCAGCAAGCACAAATCGACTCGCATGAGGTGCGTGTTCAGACGGTTCACTACAATGTGCATACTTTGAACGCATGGCACTGCTATAAAATTCTGGTCTTTTCTGACGATCACAAAGGCAAGCAGGTGCTGGCACCACTTGCCACATTCCATGCAAGCTCGGCAGCCTTGTTTTTAAGGCTGCTGAGCTACTAAAGGGACAAAGCTAACCATGTCCAATGTGCAAGCAGTGCATGACTGTCACTGAACTAAAGATGCGTTCGAGGTGAAAATACAAGCATTCCCGTTGGTGTTTTCTTATCCAGACACGCAAACATACTTAGCGTGTCAGCATGTATCGAGTCAAACAGACACGAAAAGACTTAACTGCAAACACAAACACACTGACCCCTGGATCACAGAGAATGCCAACACCGCAATCCGATCTGCCGAGTAGAAACATACACATGCTACACACAAACCCCACAACAGCCAGGCCTTTGATGACTGAAGCAGTCATTTTCCTAGTTTCCCATAACAAAAAGTATTCCATTTGACTGCAGCTCACGTTATCTTCAGATTCCAGGGAAAATGGTCATTAGTTTACCTTGTATGTAGCAGGCATCACCAAGTCATTTTCAAAGATAAAGCTTTTTGTTTGGTCATACAGGATAGTCGAAAGTGCCATGTAGGCAACACTAATGGTTATATGCCTGAATCACTCCAAAAACCTTTGAATCAGGCACAGAAAATATTCGAGCATGAAATAATTGTTTCAACCCCGACTATTATAACTAGCAGTTTTGTGACAAAGCAGTTTCCAAAATAAGAGAAATCTATTTTGTACATACAGGTTTAACCTCGCTGGTCTGCTAACCATATGTTAGTCAAGACGGCCCTCACAGCGGCAATCCTAACATACACACAGACAGTTGTTGCCATACTTGCTGTACTCAAGCTCAGTGTGTTCAAAATCGTGTCAATGTAAATTCAATGTGAAGTGGGGATTTTTCAATTTTTGACCCTGCAGCTGGAAAATCTACCCAAAGAAATCGCTCAGCCGGTGACAAAATTACGACCAAACTAAATGGCAAAGATTGTACTGAATTTGTAACAGGAAGTCGAGTCTGCACTAGTCTTGGGCCAAGAACTTGGAAGTGGACTCGATCAAGCGTAATATATGCCGCGAGCATCGATTTCTATTGCACTCTCTCGTGACTTCATTTCACTAATTGACGGCTCCTTCTACTGTCTTGGGAATCTCCTACAACCGAGGCGTGACCTTTGTATGCAAAATAGTACTTTAATATGAATATTCCCAATTGACCCTTGGATGCAAAATAGGATGCAAAAAAGGCTGTGGGAGCATTGAAACGGATTCACATCAATAGCGTCAGCTTGTAATTTCTTCAATTTTGTTATAGGAAGTCTTTCATGGGCTTACTTCTTCGCTCCTTGTTCCAATGCATTGATCGCAGCCATTATCAATGTTGAAAAAACTAAAGAAAAAGTTCAACAGTTTGTAGGAGATTCCCAAGACAGTAAAATGAGCCGTCGATTGGCGAAATGAAGTCACGAGAGGGTGCAATAAAAATCCGCACGTGCGGCACAAGTTATGCCATTGAGTTCTGCTGTCTTGGCCCCAGACTAGGTCTACACGCACATGCACCGGCTGCACATAACGACAAAGAAGCACCCATGTGAGCTTCATAAATATGCATGTAGTGTGATGTGTAAGGGCTGCAGCTTTGCATTTGTTAGAGATGTATTGAAATGAATATGCAATACAGTCATTTTGATTGTGATTGGCGGTTGGGATGAACGCACTGGGGCAAGTGTAGTTTCGTGATTACTTGGTCACGGCACAATGTCTGTTGTACATAATGTGGGCAGCTGAAAAAGTCAAGTTAAAATTTACTTAAGTTCAGTGGATGTTTTTAATTTACTGGAAGTCTGATACACAAACTAAATATCCCTAAATTAAGAAATACTTCATTGGAAATCAGCTTGTTATAATAGTTCTGGCTGAGGAATGGATTTCTTTGGTGGTAACTGTTTATTTGTGAAAAAGTATCTCGTACAGTCCGGATTTGCTTAAAATTGATCTAGCGTTAGAACCAGGAGGAAAAGTGTCGTCTTCACTTCAGTTGATCCTGTGAGTTTAAATTCAAAGCTTACATTTGGAAAAAGCTTGGTATTATCCAAAGACACAAGGTGGACCACTGGCCCGTTTCACTGAAATTTGACTTTTTTCAGATGTAATTCGACTGACACTTGCTTGACCCAAACTATAAGAAAACGGCTGTATCATACATATTTCAATACTTAATGACGGTCATCTTGCTGACCTGGTGCTACATGATTTCACACTTATTTAGTGCACTGCCACACAGTGTACATGTATATGTGCACACATACACAAGGCTGGAGTGACGGTCCGTGTGTGCAGTGGTTCTCTACATATAGCCCGTCACCTTTGTGGTCCAGGGTCAGACTTATTGTGCATTGGACCAGCATTGCACAGTAAAAACCGTATTGTATTGAACAGTGTGTCAGGTCCACTGATTGTGTTAGTGGGTCGGCTAAAATTCTGACCTTTGCCGTACCGTGCATATCGACTGCCCCCGTTCAGCAAGGTACACCGACAGTGGCATGGAAAGCGACATACACATTGCTCTATGATCGTTCACATTTGACCATAACTCCACACCACGCCATCCAAATGCATGGCATGCACTGTGTGTATGTAAGGATATCGTACACTCAGCCCGCTGCACACCGGCGGCCCGCCCAGCATTGCCCTTGCCATGCACACTGCATGATCGCAAGCATGGCACAGTGTTGCTAGGCAACACCCCCGGCCTATCCAACGACTTAACATAACAGCGCATGCCCGAGCCTAGTATTTTAATGTACCATGCGATAATGTTGCTCTAAAACCAAGTGCTCATCAACGTGTACATGTTAACGGTATTTCAAGAGCTCCATGTTTTTCATGCATACAGGACAATTTTAATGTTATTTTAACTAACACCACAATGTAGTTTCTGCAGTTTAGCATCACAAGCTGCACTGCAATGAACATTGATCGGGACTACCTTTATTCTCACGTACGTTGTTGTGTGCAAAATCACTCAGCTGACTGGCCATGCTGGCCTGGTCAGTTTTTGTAGGAGACAAAATGCCAAGGACAGAATGGCTACAAGTCAAACCGGGCCAAAGCCTTTCATTAATCAGCTGCTGGTTTGGCACTAATCACGGCCATGTTCAGGTATAATGCGTAGGCCCAATCCTACTTTTTCTTAGGCCAGGCTGAATGAATATTGATTTTCATGCAAAAATATCGGGATGGCATTAATGCCCAGAACTTTGGTATGCTGATGCTCTCACGTCTGGCATTGTGCCCTTTATTTCATCCCGTCCACCAATGCCAAATGGCAGTGCCCTAAAAAAAAGAAATTCATGGCCTGGAATAGACCCCACATACTGAGCTGAGACAAATATTTTATGAGAGCTTGACCTGACAGATGTTCTGTGTATTAACTACAGTGTATTATGTAGCATGGTATAGAACTGAAACTTCAGGCAACCGAATGAAGAACCTTTGTCTAGGGTATTCTTGATCGAAGTGTAATGCGCAGACAGTCATTTTCTACACTTGGAAGTCAATGCAGGAATGGCTGTAACAAGTCCCACTGAAACATATATGACTATTGATATTTCATTTGCAGCCACTCACAACACAATGAACGGAAAGCCCCAGGATGCTGTCTACACACAAGGCTTGTGCTTTGAGCTGCGCCGAAAATGCCTGTCCAGATTTGTATACACCGTACACATGTACAGTAGCACCCACATGTACAGTAGATTCAATCGCGTGCATTACAGTGTTCCAGTACTGTGGTTTTGCACGTGTTTGGTGACCGGAAATCTGGCCGTCAGATAGGTAAAAAAGAAAAAAACAGAATTGGTGCTTGTGTAAGGAAGACGAACCAGGAAAATCTGGCCCATCAGTAACCAAAAAAAGCAGAAAATGAAATTCAGCATACTCAATAAAGAAATGGAAATCGGCTAAAAAGTGGAGATTTCACACCATTGTAGATAAATTTTTATGGTTTGGTTCAGTTTGGGTTCGTCCTCAGCCTCAATGACATGGTTCTATGACTCTAAATTCACAGAATAAAGGCAGTAAGAGTAATTTCTGAAAACTAACTTTTTGTGGAGCAAGCAAGGTTTCTATGAATAACTTTACCTGGTATGTTATCCAGTACCGGGTTTGCAGGTGTGTGGTGATGTGACGAATCACTGCTGCTAGTGTTGGCACTACTACTACTACTTTTCTTTTTACTTGTATCAATCTCAGCCATGATCACCTGTGGGTCCACCCCACCCCTATCATGGAAGCACTCAAATGGTAGAAGGTATCGGATGTAATTTTTCTTCAGGGTGAAAGCAGCACTATTGGAGCTGCCAACTGTCAAATACATGGCAATTTGCTTCCACTGCTTGTTCTTAGAAACCTGCAGAATAAGAAAGCAATGAATGGCATAAGTGAAATTCGTATCAATGTTTCTACCCTAACCCTCAATAGTGTCTACATCTATTAGAAACTCTTTAGTTTAGGTGCACATCACACCTGTTCCAACACTTAAACCAATATCATGAAATACAAAGGTTTCAATATTCTCAAATTACTCTACAAAACAACTGAATCCATGATTCTGTCATGGCCCAATTAGCATTGACTAAGTTCAATAGGTCAAATGACAGTTAAGCTGAATAATTAACCTTCACTGTAAGCTTTCTTCTCTTTAGTAAGAAGCCTTTTAAACTGTTCCTGGTTAAAACCTGGCTCTGGAAAAATTGAAAATGTTGCCATAAAGGAGTTGGAAATGTGTACCCAATCACAATCCTTTCGTCATGTTCAAGTGATTTCAGGCATCTAGATAACCCCTGAAAACAACATAAAAACTCATAAAATAAACTTATTATGATCAAGCATGCAATGCGAAAATTGTAACTTTTTTCAGAAGTGAATTTTTCCCTTTAACTGAAGTAATAGGTATTTTTACATTTGAATCCATAATCACGATTAATTTGAAGGTAGTGTACACCATTGATTTTTGTCGTAATTTCCCAAGATTGGCTGATTATGGTGTGTACTAGTCACTGCAACTTGCATTCATTCCACTCACTTGTTTTATGTTTGAGTCAACTGCTTTGTGAAAAACAAGTATGGCATTTGCAACGATTAAATCTATGAACTTGTAATTCATCTTGAAAAAATCTATGAATTACAGGGCGTTTGTAGTAAGCGAACAACATCCATGGGGTCAGGGTAGGAAACAGCCATGATAGGTTCTCTTTCCCTTAAAAAAGGAGCAATTTTCAATGGCCAGGGGTAATCAGTGAATTTACCTAAGGGTAATGCACGTCCTCAACAATGTACATGTAGTGTCGCAGATTCGTGAAAAAACTTAATCCAGGAATGTAGTTGACTCGCGTCTGTGACACTGAAACGAGTACGTCTATATGCACGGCACGCATGATCATGCTTAACCCTAACCCACCTCAATCCTCCAGCTGGTTATACTTTCGAACATACCAGAAGTACAAAAAAGCTGAAATTTAGGGTCGACATCTAAGTTAAATTCTCACACCCCTAATGTACTTTCTTATGAGGAGAATACGGTAATCTGATTTGGTGGATTTTACCACTGGTGCACACTACCTTTAAGAAAACTTAATAGTTATTACAGTCTGTAGACACAGTCATGGTCCTGTTTGATGTACCTGGAAAATTGTTCAGTTTTCTCTTGCCTAATGTAGGCCTACGTTGAGAAATGCATCCCTGGAATTTATTTTTAATGTCTGTTTCTACTTCTCAGAGATAATCCCTACAGTAAACATTTTTGCATCAGTGGCACTGACTCTATGCACACAGCAGTGCTTGCACACCCACACACAAGCACTTACCTTACATACCTACTGTGGTCATTCCTTTCTTTTCGTGCAGTTAAAAAACCTCAGTGAAAATACTCATTTTTCTTAAACTGGGAACATGATTTTCAGCTGGATTTTTGTAAAAGGTTTCCCCAACTGTTCCTCTTCCTTTTACTACAGATGACCACTATCCCAAAATGCCTCTAAACTTCTTTTTCAGAGAAGACGAAACGTCCTGTGGACGTGTGTAAATCCACAAAACGTATCCCTTTCCTGCATAATGTGGACATCTTTTGTTCAAAAGTCCACACTAGGTATGTAAGGTTAGCGCACACTGTTATATTGATGCCTGACATAGTTTTAATATGGAAGATCAATTCTTATATGTTTATCAAGCAGAAAAAAGTGCATCTAAGCATTGGTCTAGATATACTTACCACAGAAACACTAAATTTACAAATGGTGGAGGAGGTTAAACACATGCCAACACTACTAATCATGCACTGTCAAGCTGGACTTTTGGTTCTGACATTTTTATTTAAGTAAACCAAGTGTAAGAATGAAAGCTTTGAGGCAAACTGAGGCAGTTGCAGTCCAACAGAAAGACTCATTCTCAAGTGTATTTCTGCATTTGGTGTTACCAAACTTCCTGCACTAGGTGTGCACGTGACCATTACGTAGACACATTATGCATCTTGGTTATAGGTCAAGTTCCACAAAATACTCGCCTTGACCACGCCTCCTCTCTCTTTGACTGCATGGTACAGCTTGAATAAATCCAATGTATGTGTGCTTATCTGTGGCATAGTTCGTATAGGTTGACCCCGATCTTCCATCAGTCTAAACACAGCGTCTAAGAAAGGTTTGCGGTCTGGATGGTCACATAGGTCGTACAACTTCATCAGCTGTTGGTGCATAGGAACAAAAACAAACAAATGACGATTATCTTCTCAATCTCAAGCGCAAGTGGATTTTGTTATTCATATCACTGCACAAAATGTTACTTGTTATGGAATTGAAACTAAATTACAGTTTATGTGTTTGAATGACCAATTTGATTTACACTCAAGTGGAGTTTGTATTAGTAAATTTTAGGACAGGCATTTTTAGTACATTAGGGTAGTTTTAGTACATCTTTTTTATACATAAAGGTTGACAGTTAAAACAGCTCACAGATCACTATGTAGATAATATGTTAATATTAATAAAAGTGCTCAATTTTAGTATCCTTAACAGTCGAGACATACTTTAGCTGTCTAATTTCAAGAGAGTTTTTCACACACCTAAAGGGTTACGGTTACCACAGCATTATATTTTGACCAAGCACAACTGGGTTACCGCATTGTGCCACATATGCTACATAGAACCCAAATTAATCAAAGTAAAAACATAGACATGACAAATGAACAAACACCAAGATGACCTTCTCAAATAGAGACACAGAGAAAGAGCAAGACTGAAGAAACCCAGTTCAGATAGAAAAGAATTTAAAGAGTGCATGGTCGTACCTGTTCATGCACCGAAGGCTTGGTGGAAGTGGACTGAAGGAAAAAAGAGAGAGAGAGAGAGAGTGTCAGTGCAGTCACCCCTGCCTCAACTCCATGCAGGACACACCACTTAGTGCATATCATGTTACAACCATCTCAAACCATACTTTCACCATCTTTTACAGTAGCTCTTGGAAATTAATTATTCATTGTGGTGGTGATTAGATTCTACACAGAGCAGTGTGTACATGCAAGCACCCAAACTTTTTCTGTTTGGGATTGAACTGAGGTTGTTACAGTCACATAGCCAGAAGATGGAAAAGGAAGTGTTTCGCTTGATCCATCTCATTTGATTTACTGCACATATTGGTTTGGTCTTAAAACTATGTATGAATATTTGTTTCTCTACATACACGTAGTACCCAAGAATGCCTCAACCTTCCTTTCCAAGAAAATTTCTGGCTACATGCCTGATTTATTCCTTTCACTATGTTAGTAACTTAAAATATGTGCCAACTCAATGTTAAATTTTAACTGCCAAATAAAAGGTAAAAAATCAAATGGCAAATGTAAAGTGATTTAATCAGGGAGAAATTAAATGTGCATGTACACCAATCTGTCATAGTTTGACAAAATTATATTAAGAAACAAATGTATTTAACAGTGAGCAATTACAACCGACATTCAATCTTTATTGTGACAGTAAATATCAGATAGAATCTGCAAAATAGGGGAACAGGAAAGTGCAACTCTTAACCATTTCATGTCCATCCCATTTTCTTCCCCTACAAAGCTGCTGTGGGGGGGGAGGGATTTTTCAGGCAAATTCTTCAACATTGAAATTATTTCTGGCACCCATAAAATATGTCAGTGGACACAACTCTTTTAAATTTAGGCATTAGTATCTGGGTCATTCCATCGGGTCGGGAAGCAGTGTGTTTTAAGGTGAAGATCACCTTTGAAACTGCCTTTAAAATTGATTGGTGAGCGTCTGCCCAATCAACTGTAGCGTATCTCAAAGAGATAACCTTAGCTTCAAAATGAGACCAAGCTTAACTGCATTGAACATAACATGTTAAAAAGTTACTGACAATTAATGGTGTCATGAGCCGTTTTCCTTATAAAATGGGTGACATGATTTACAATTTACTTCTTGATTATCTTATTTTTACGAAAATTTTGTAATGGCTCGTTAATCTGTGTTTTATAGTGGTGCGCTCAATGAGTTTTGTTTATTCATAGTGGTGCGTTCAATGAGTTTTGTTTATTCATAGTGGTGCGCTCAATGAGTTTTGTTTATTCATAGTGGTGCGCTCAATGAGTTTTGTTTATTCATAGTGGTGCGCTCAATGAGTTTTGTTTATTCATAGTGGTGCACTCAATGAGTTTTGTTTATTCATAGTGGTGCGCTCAATGAGTTTTGTTTATTCATAGTGGTGCGCTCAATGAGTTTTGTTTATTCATAGTGGTGCACTCAGTGAGTTTTGTTTATTCATAGTGCCAGCAAAGGTGTAAGGGTACATTTCAGAATTTCTGTTCTTTTCTAAATCCATACCCATTTCTGAGAAGGTATATCAATAGACATTCTTGCCCTTTTCATGATTTGGCATAATAGTGATTGTAAACCTACTGGAGGAATTGGCAGGATTTTAGCTGTGATACTCGGCAGTGATAATTGGAGGATTTTGCAGGATTTTGCAGGATTTTGGTAACTTGTAGTTTTTGCAGTCCAGAATTGAAGAATTTGGGAGGATTCTGGCTCTGAGCAGGAAAATTAGGGCTTGGGGTAAGGGTCAATAAAAAATTAAGTTTTAGGACAAAAGTACTGGGCCAAGTACTTTCTGTGTACTTTTCTCCTTAAAAATTAAATTTTACAAAAACTGGGAATGTCTGAGGTCTTGCATTTAGTTTGTAATCTTACCCTTGTGCATCTACCATCAAATGCCAATGTAATCCTGGTTTATTCCGTGTTCAATATTTGGCAGAGCATCTCAGTACTTAAAAAGCACTGAACTACATGTACACCACTGGTGACAATGGATGCAATATTTCTTGGTGACCATGCAATGCACGAATACAAATTGATGCACTGCAGCAAGACGTATCTACTGTACAGCTTTATTTTTGAAATGCCAAAAAGAAAAATCAGGTTATCTGTATTTGTTTTGTGTATGTTGGGCAAAAAACATTTTGTCAGCAACCCTGTTGTGCATCCAACTGACAGCGGAAAACCCTTTTTATGTGACCCACTGTCTTCAATTCCCTACAAAAGACAAATTGAGGGAAAGCAATTCATTTTTTCAGCAACTTTTTCTCCCAAGCTGGCCCACTCTCCCTCAAAGTAAAAAAATAAACCCATATGATTACCACAGAATTAACTACAGATGCCTTTAGCCTAATCAAGTGGCCGAGGGTTGATTTCCCTCGATTTTTTGCCACTCTTTTTTAAGTAGGTATCTTTGTATTACTCTTTATTAGGGAACATAAGTTTATTAGACTTTGAATCCTTTAAAAAGTCCATTTGGGGTGACACCTACCTTTGTATATACCAGTACCACCATTAACCCCCTTGATTTTGGTTAGAAATGGCCAGATGCTGTGAGGAGCTACTGGCAATGTTCAGTGCCTCTATGACTACAAGGATATCAAACTAACCACTGCAGTAATTGCACAGCACCCATTTCTGTGGCACGAGGTTTATCTCACACTCCAAAGCATACAGAGTGCAAGCATACAAATATCTCAAACCATGTGCAATAATCTCTTAGTAAAAATTAGCAGTTCACGTTGAATGGAAAGTTATGTGACAAATGACTTCGTATGAGACAAAATGAAATTTTCCCCATCTGCTTGAAAATACTCGGCATATTTAGCAAAGAAGGTGAAATGTGCCAACACTGCTTCCCATTCCCAGGTAGCCCCTCGATTTCAATGTATTGTATGCTTCACTGGTCTCGACACAACTGTAGTGAAAAATGTTGCACTTCAATGCATACCAACTGCTTTGCAAAGTATAGTCAGTGTATTGTTTTCATTATCGAAGTGTATGTCTCTGTTATTCTACCGACCCATCATAAAGTGAACATGTGTATTGCATTCCCAAACACTTGCAGGCAGTTTACAAACTTTCACTATGCACTTGCGCAAGAGTGTAAGAAAAGCAAATGATACCTACCCGTTTGGGAGGTTTGTTTGCAGGGCTAGCGGGTAACTTGTTGAGTAGACTCGGGGAAGGACTCGGTGCACTTTCCTCTTGTGAAGATTTGCTGATGGCTCCCGGGGAACCCAAAGGAGATGCCCCAAGCAGGCCAAGGGGTGGAGATGAAGGTCGAGATGCTGTTTCAGACTGCTTCAGAGCACAAACAAATGAAATATATTCAAGTTTCCTATAGACTAATTCACACAGATGTAATCACTGTGGTCACACCACACACATCCTCACCAACATCACATGCATTCTTAAAAGGTACATGTGCTTGTATTCAGGTGTGTTGTCAACACCCAACAGGTAATGGTCAAAGAGACATTTCATTGCCGTATTAGTCTACAGATTTCTTTTAAAAATTCTTGCGTGTGTAGAACTCATGAATCAAAATGCTGTTGAAGATACTACTTTGCCTTCATTTTAACGCTGCATTCCTACTATGTTTAGTTTTATGCTTTTTCACACGAGTCAATAACTTGTAGGAAGCCAGCCAGGAAGCTTCAGCAAAGGCTACACAAGGGTTGTGTGCTTGGATCAGCAATTTTGGCTCAAATTTGTTGCATCTACAGAGGAATTCCCTTATAACCAACACAACGAGGTACACTCAAAATGTTTGTAATAGCGGTCATCCACTATAGCAGTTTTCAATACGAGATTCCCCACCCAGGTGTTTCGATCTCTAGCCTATTCAACCATATGGCAGCCTGCCCCACAAAATGTTTCAGTACGAGGATTTTGGGTCAACACTTAAACGCAACTAATAAAGTAACAAATAAAACACATGAAATTCCTGCATTTTGTCAAATTTATGTTCATCTCCTTTCATGTTTCACCTTTCTTGTAGCCTTCACTGGAAATGAAGTCATGTTTTCCTGGAGCCTTTGTTTTAAAGTAGCATGCAACACGTAGTACAGTTAGTACTGTAGGTAAAATAGCACTCTGAGAAATACGCCGCACTAGGAGCCATTCTAATACAGTAGCACTAGAGACACACAAAGATGTCATGTCTGAAGTCAGCAATGAAATGTCAGACAAGCGCTATTAAAAATTATCGAAACCAGCAAGATATTAATTTAAGATTTCTGCAAGTTGGATAACAAATGCTAGGGCCTGAGTATTTATCTTCCGTTTTACTGAATGTTTTAGGTTGACTCTCCTGGCTTTGTAGTGATTATCATGCAAAGTTGTCTGCACCTCAGTTGCCAGAGTCGCGTACATTGTTCACATATTTGGTAGCGATCTACAAAGCCATTTGCGGTGTTTGGGTGCGGAGTTCTACTGCCTAACGACCTTGAATCGGACCAAATGTCCAGCCTAGTACGTTGTGTCTTCAAACATTGCTTCCATTTTTGATACTCCGTCACACGCTGCAGTCTATACGCTACCACGGAATTAGTTTTTGATGGAAAGCAATTGAAATTACACAAATGAAAAAGGTTAAGAAACGGACGAATGCGCAACAAAAATTGTGAAAGGGCAAGGCACACATCACTGCATGCATGCATTGCGCATGCGTGATTACACATTTTGCTAGCCCATAGTTCAGCTGTTATTTATTGCGCATGCTGTGCATGTTAAAAATTTCACATGAGCTACATGCCAAAAAACATATTTCTTTGTTCATCAGACTGCAAAAGTTTCACCCCACTCGTGCACCGACGGATGTTGACATGTCAAATTGCCAGATCAGATCCACCTTTTGCGTTCCCATCTGATCGTGATCCGCCAATTGCAGGATCAGATCCACCAATTGGGGGATCTGTATCCTGCTCCAGAGGAGGATCAAGAAAGATGGATCTGATCCTGATCCACCTTATAACGGTTAGCGTTCCTACTACACACAATTACTGGATCTGATCCAGCAATTTGGCAAAAGTTGGATCAGATCTCTCGATTGGTGGATCAAGTGGGAATGGGCTGTAACACAAAGACTTGTCTTTTTTTAAGCTGGGGGCATGATAACCAGAGGTGTGTTTTTTTTTACCACACTGGTAAATCCCTTTGATTTTGGGGAATTCCATTACATAAACAACTCACCTCTGTTTACCTACATTTGTAGAGTAACACCATTACATAATTATGAGGGTGAACAGAAGGTCTAAACTGAACCTTCAGATACATGTAAAGGTTGTTTAAACATACCTAGGAATTGCTTATCTAGTTGTGACTAACTTTTCAGGGTTGTGTGGGCTGCTGATCTGCCAACCACCTGGAGGATTTTCCTACCCGTAAATCCTTCAGCTTGAACCACATCTTTAATTCAAGTAGCGTGATATAGTAGTGGATGGGTTCTTCCAGCAGGCTACTTTTATGATATCTGAAATAGAAACTCTAGCAGGTGGGCTCAAGAGGTTGACATGCTACATGTCTCGTGGGCTTTAGAATGAGATCCTCCATTATCGCTAGGACTTATTGCCACCGAAATCCATTGTGTGATTGTGGTCACAGACGCTGGATGATATGGTTGGATTGTTTTGATGAACAGCTGCTTGGTATCCCCTTGTAATGGCCGAGTGTGAGCATTGTAGTACTTGGGGGCTCCCACATGACACCACCATCAATCCTCTACCACCAATGAAAGTATTGTCAAGCTTGGCATGAAGATATCTTGGGGAGAGAAATTATCTGATTGATTCTTGGTAGGAAACTGCATCTGTGGATTGAGGCATACTCCACCTGGTTCCCAGCGAATATGTCCTGGTTCTATAGACAAAGTGTGGAGCTCACTTCTCCCTTGAGCTGTTGCAGGCATCCAATGAAAATGTAGTTTTTATCGTAAACTGATGAAGATAAACCCCTTGCTGGTTCAAAGGGAGCCTTGGATAGGGATGTAAGATTGGTATCCAAATCCCAAGAAGGAAATGAGCTACTTGTGAGGGGGTTGATCTATAAAACAAGCCTTAAAGCAGATGTGAAATTAATCAGTTTGAAGATTGTGTCGTGTCATGATAGAAACCCTGATGTATGGTACCAATGGCTGATCTAAAACCCTTGATAGTGGAGATCTGAAGACCTGAGTTCATAAGAGGGAGGAGAAAATCCCTAAAAGCAGTTATATAAGCAGAATGCAGATTGATAGCCCTTTCCTTACACCAATTGGTGAAGTAGTGATGTTGACTTTGATAAAATTATCTGGTGGACCCCTGTCTACTCTAGGTTGACAAGTCTGCAGCTTCTTCCTAAAGACCAGCTGCTCGCAGACATACTTTATATTATCCAGGCTCAGAGATGAAAAGATGGATCTGGACAATTTAAGACCTGGGTTGAGTTGGAAGTTGGCTTTTCGGAATATGACTGGTGAATCAACAAGCAGGCTCAGTACACTGACGGGAACAGGGGTTGTCATGGCCAAAGAGGCTATGAGAATGACTCTGGACAATTCTGGCTCTATTTCTATTAGGTCCCAATGTAAACAGAGATTGGTGTGGAAGCATAGACATGAATCAATGTCCAATAGAAGCCGAGTGCATCCACCTCCCAAGCCACAGAATGAGGGTGTCGCGAGCGGAAAGGTTGGAAGCTGGTGGTTCCAAAATGGCATGCAAGCAGGTCCACGTGTGGTTTTCAAAAAATGTTGAAAACATGTTTGACTACCACTGGATGAAAGGACCAAGTGATCGGACTTCAGAACAAGGCATCGGCCAATGAATTCTTCCTGGCAAGGTAAGTGGCTTGGGAAGAGATTTGCCAAGGAATATACCAATTGTGAAATTCCCAGGTGGCAAGGCAAAGAGATGGAGAATGGGTTCCCTTTTGACAACTGATATAAGACACGGCTGTGGAGTTGTCCATTTTGATTAGAACCAGTTTGTTTAGGACCCTGGATTTGAAGGACTCCAAGGCGTTGGACATGGCAAGCAGTTCTGAGTGATTGATGTGTAACAGACTGTTTTGTGGACCAAGTGCAAGCAACAGACTGGTCTTCCACTGAGCTCCCCAGCCCTGTTTCAAGACATCTGTTTTGAGAGTAGTCCGCAGACAGGCAGGGAAATATGAATCCACACAACAAATTCTTCTTTGTGATAACAACCAGTGAAGTTGATTTTGGATGAGTTGGGCGACCATAAATAGAGGTGAGTTGTTTTCTGTGATGGAATTAGATTTGTGTGGTACTTAAACGGGGTGTGAGTGAAGCATAAATACAAAAGCTAAAAACAGCTGAAAATGTAAGCGCTATTAAAGTGCAAAGCATATACAGCGTGGGGTCTGGGGTCCACTCGAGGGCACTGGGAAAATTTTGAAATGTAGATTGCTCTGTGGTGTTTTCCACATTTCAATACTTCGTAAGAATGCACATGACATGTTAACTGCTGCCCATCTATGGTGAATTCCATCCACGTCCACGGCTTGGAACTTGAGGATCACTCGTCATGTTGATTGTATCCAAGTCACAACCTCTTTGGATAATTATGCACTTATATTGCACTGACATTTTGATTAGTTTATGTCCAAAAATTGTTTGAAATCTTGTAAAAATGATGTGCAAAAAGCGTAAAAAGCGTACAAAATGCATGACAAGAACTTTGCCCCACGCTAGAATCCCTCTATTGGCAAAAGCAAAAATTGACTAACCTTATTTCAAGCAGCATATTTACAGTGACATGTATGCTACAGCAAGTTATAGTGGAGATTGTTAGTCACTACATGTACTGATGCAGGAATGGCTTTAACAAGTCCCACTGACACATATAGAGGGACAAGATTCTCAGAAAATGAAAACAGCTGAAACTTGCGAGCGTGCAGCGCAAAGCCCTTTATAGCACACGGGCCCCAGAAAAATTTCAACTTTAGATGATCTGTGATGTAATGTAATGCTAAGCCCCACTGGGACACATTTTACAATAGAAACATTTGTGAAAGTCCATACTGAGTCCAGCACATAGCTTTGTTCATCACTTATGGTTTGTCATGTGCTTCAAAATACATGTCGATTATGTTCACGTATACACGTATATGATAGAGGATAATTTATTTTCCCCTTCTAGAGTTCGTTGTATTTCAACAATTCTGCACATGTTAAGGTATTTTAACCTAGGAAAGCGTAATTAATTAATGTTGCATCACACAACTACCTTACCAGGTTTTGCCAATTTCCAAATAAATTCAGACAAGAATACTCCTCTTATTTTGGACTCAACCCACTC